TCGAGCGGGAGCTTGATCGGGTTGGCGCCGCTCTGGATCGACTCGAGGAGCATGAGGTCGTGCGACTTCATGTTCTCCATGCCCATGAGCTTCTTGAACTCGGGGTCGAAATCCTGGATCGTGCCGGGAAAGCAGTTTTCGTACAAAAGCGTCTGCACCTTTTCCATCTCGAGCTCGGCGTCCGAGACCGTGAGGTTCGAAGCGGCACCGAGTTGCATCATGGCGCGCTGCCAGACACGTTCGTCGGCATTGTCCTTGCGGTACGTGCTCTTGAGGACGTGCGGCGTGTCGACGATGACGGCGTCTTCGCGGTTGTCGGGGACGACGTTGTCACAGTTGGTGAGCAAGTCCTTGAGGAACCCGCTCATCTCGTAGTTGTAGCTAAAGGCGCCGAGCTGCGTCACGTCCGAGAGATCGTAGTACTTGTTGGGGACACCGGCAAACCACGGCTTGGTGACCGCCGTCTCGTCGACGTTCTGGCTCGTGCCGTCTTCGAGCATGTTGACGACCGAGTTCGCATCGACCTTGGCAGCGCCGCTGCGCACTGAGCAGCTCGAAAAGACCTTGGGGTCGTTCTTCGGGAGTCCCTTGGCGCGGCACTCAAAGTTGATGGTGTGGAGGAGATCGATGAGCGCGTGGTGCGACCAGAACATGGGCTCTTTGGGCGAAGACGCCGTTGTCATGTCAGCGCCGAGCAAGTTGTGCACCGAGTTGTGGACACGGCCTTCGATGCTGCTACTCACATCGGCGAGCGTCTTCGACTGGCCCGACGGCAGCACGGTCGATTTGATGTTGACAAAACTCATGTCGGGTGTAAATTTGGCGGTCGCCCAGTTGCCGCGGCTCCACTGGAACGACGTCTTGAAGCCCGTGAGCTCGCGCGCAATGCTCGAGCAAGCCGAGACAGACTTGCACGACCCGGCGCGGAATGCGACGCTGTCTTGAACGTAGTCAAAGTACGGGATCGTGACGCACGCAAACGACGGGTCGAGGGACCGGAGCATGTTTTTCAAACCCCGAGAAGGAAGCGCCGGTGCCAGTAGAGAAAGACGCACGTGCCCGTGGGCTTCATACCACGTCATCTGGTTGCGGTGGATCTTTGGCAAAGACGGCGAAGGAGCCATTCG